ATATTAAATATGAGTTCAATGTTTAAATCGTTCATACGCCTAAAATCTAAGTTATATATTATCATTTAACCCAAGAAAGAATAGTGTGAGGGCGTAAAAGAGTTAAGAAGCATCAATGTTTAAGGAAAAAAACGTACGAAGAAAGTCACAAGTAATTGAGAAATAGGAATGGATGAGTGAGGAATTAGAAGCATGAAATTGCTTCTATTTATAGACAGGTCCCTGACTTTTGGGTATCAAAAGATTATGCAGTAGTCTTTTCTTTAAGGTAATCACTTTTCTTCACAAACAGGTCACCGGGCCATAAATACAAATGTTTGTAGGATGGAGGGCCTACGTTATGACGTATGACATGAATCATGCATGCATCCTTGAAAAAAAACGAGTTCGTTGGGGGGGGGGGGAATCAAGATACAAATCTAGTCAAAAAATTCTATCAAGAGTTACTAGTATTTTTATTCAAATATGGTGCAATTTTATTCATGAACTCATAAAAAAAATTTAAAAATCTCCAATATATAACAGAGGCCGAACATCCATTAAGAAGATTGTGGGTCTCACCTACTATACCATGTATAAATAGGTTAGAGGCAAAAATATGTAACATGTATTATGATATGGTGTCATTTTTGCCAAGAAACCTCAAAAATGATGCAAAAATCCCGATCTAAAACAAAGGCATATGTTGGCAAACATTATGTAAATGTCAAAATCATTGAAATTTTGTCTGACCCAAAATGCAAATGAAGAAATACATGTATTCAAAATTTTCTTAACTAACACAAGCCTTAAGCACAATATTTTATTTTTTTCACATTTCACATCTTGGAGGGGACGAAAGAGGGTTTGAATTTAACACACTCTAAATTAACCCACTAATTAATCCACACTACTGTGGTAATAAATGATTTAATCTCATATTAATCATCACCATGATAGAAAAGGCTTAACCATGGTTACAAAATACCAAAGTACAAAGTTAAATAGAAAATACTTTGAAAACAATATCCCATCTCTAAATCATATTTAGAAAAAGTCATTTGAACTCAAGCAATATAAATCAGAGTAATATAATAAACGGAAGCAAGAGATGACCCTAAAATAGGATTATCCAATATAACAGGGACAAATAATTATTTCCATGATCACTGAAGCATGTATCACAACTTGACCTCCCAAATCAACCAATTAGGCATATCACCCTTGAGAGAGTCAACACAACATACAATTCAGTTTCATAAACTATCCAGAATATCAACATTCCAGAATCATATAACGTCAATGTCTCTAGCCAAACACAAGCCTCGCAAGCTTGATTCAACAAAAATGGCTAGACGTATATATACTATTCATCAACGCGATAGTCATAAATTTCCAACAATATATTCACTAGCCTCGATACAAGCCCTCGTGAGCTTGATTTCCAAAAAGGCTAGACAAGAATAATCACCATTTACAATTCCACAAAGCATCACAATGAATACTTGTCCCTAGTTGGTAATATATAAATGCTAGTTGTTTGTCATATAGCACCAAGAGGCATTGTAAACAAGGTAGTCAATTAGGTAGCTAGCTAGTTGTTTGTCTCAAAAAAAATATTTGACCATGAGGTGAGATAAACATCTCAATAATTAAGAAATTCTAACTTTTAACATATACAAGTAAAACCATTTAAGAGCTTGTAAACTGGGTAAATACAATCATAATTCATTTTATCATAAAATAAGCATGCATGATTATTATTACCCCCTTATCTCCTCCTTATTCCTTCTAATTGAGTCTATAGGCTAGAATTTAAACAATATTAATCTGTGTGACCAGATTAGCCCAAGTTTGAATCATATGGACTACCTCGCTTTGGAATTCCGTGGGGTGTCATAATATTGCTAGAATCATACCAGGCCAGCTCACTTGAGAAGGTAAGCACAACTAAGCCTCTATCTATAACCAGTCATCCCCAAAGAAGACCTCATCTGCTGGTGGTCATAAACAAAGAGCAAAACCGGCCCTTTCCTTCAAGGTCCATCTGCAAGCGGAGACACCATGTTGCGTCTCATCCGTGGATGGTCTTGACTAGAAACTCCACTTTCTCATTAAATTTAATTTTAAACCTTAAATGTTAACCTCATATTAGTCCTAATTAATTCCTAGTTTAGTATAAATGCTTAGTTTAAATTTTTAGGATATTACATTGAACATATAAATTGTTTGAAATGCTTGCTATAGACTTCTTTTCAACTTTATTAAAAGACACGTATTTTAGCTATGTTTTGCATAGATTTATTTTGTTAAAATTAGTTAAGTTTAAAAAAATTATGATTTTGTGGCTGTTTGGATAAGGTTGGGAATCGATTTTTTTGCTGATAATCGATTTTGAAAAGAAAATTAGCCAAACACCAGATTTGTGATTAATCGATTAAAAAGCTGATGATCACGTTTTGGCATAATCTGAAAACTTCAGCTTCTTCAAATGATTTTTACCATTATGGATTAATTATTTCTGCCCCACTCTCTCACCTACCCATATCAGCCTCATGAATGTGTTATTATAAACATATTATGTAATTTAAATAATATATTTAAATAACTAATTCTGTTAAAATTAATTTTAAAAAAACAGCATCCAAACAAATTGTATTATAACATAATCAATTTTAATTAAAATCTACTATTTAATCAATTATTTTCATACTCAATTATACCCAACTGAAATTCAAACTGGCATTTTTAGAATTACCTTTTAATCAAGTTAAAAAATGAAATTCCTTTATCATTATGAGAAGCATGATTAAATTTGTACTTTTGGAAATGAATATGATAAATGTCCCATATTTGAATTATTTTAAAGTGAAAAAAGTCTTTAATGAAGGACTATAAGAAAAAGTATTGTAAATAGGATGGAAAGAAAAGGAGTGTAATACAACATATTCGAATTATTTTAAAGTGAAAAATATAATATAGGACCAAGAAAGCGAAATAGTATTTAAATTTAAAAAAATATAACTTTAAATCCTTATATCTTGCTCAAATTTCTATAACAAATTTCAAATAAAATATAGGAACTCAAAGTTATACTTTCTCTTAAATTTATTAGCTCTTAACTGACATGGCCCTTCACTACAAGAAAGGGAGACAAATGCCCAGTATTGCAAACACAAACAGGTCACTGTTAAGTTGGAGCCCAATACCTCTTTCAAGAGGGAGAGGTAACGCTACTAATAGGACAACTTACCATGAACACCAAGAAAGAAATAGTTATTATAATAAGTTAATAAGTGTGTATTTTGTAATTAAAGAGGTGTAAATTTTATGATATATTAGATTTATTAAGGTTTATAAATATTTTATACTATTTAATTTATTTCATATATTTTCACTCTAAATTTAATTGTTATACAAAATAAAAATTTGAAAAATAAATCTACTCAAATTTTCTATCTTTTATATAAGAAAAATAACAAATAAAAAATAAAAAGAAACAAGTATAATGGATTAAAGGGAGAATGATAGTTAAGTCTCACAAGAATAAATTAATAACAGGTTAGTCCCTGACAAAATTTTATAAAAAATAAGTTATAAATAACAAGCAAATTTATAAAAAAAAAAAACTCTTACTAACAAATAAAAAATAAAAAGAAACAAGTATAATGGATTAAAGAGAGAATGATAGTTAAGTCTCACAAGAATAAATTAATAACAGGTTAATCCGTGACAAAATTTTATAAAAAGATAAGTTATAAATAACAAGCAAATTTATAAAAAAAAACTCTTACTTTCTTTGCTTCATGATTCTCCACCGCATTTTCATTCTTTGCCGGAGCTGCAGCGAGGGATGAAGCATTGTTCGGAGGCCCTACTTTCTTCTTCTCCAGGCTGTCTTGAACAGGTCCTTCAGCCTCTTTCTGATAGGTCCTTCATCCTTGACAGTGATCTTGACCTCAGGATCTTCATCTACTTTTTCATCATAATTCTTCCGTCACAAATTAGAAGACACTTTTAAATAAAATTTTACATATCAATAAAGTTTATTAAATATATTTTACCACTTTACTTTTTCAATACAAAAATAGAAACACTTTTCAAAAATGCTCTTCATTTAATACTTCATTAATGAAAAAATATTGAATATATGGGAAGGATAATATTGAAAAAGTATCACGAAACCTTATTTTTATTAAAGCGTCTTATATTTTATAATACTGAATCTTTTAAAGCATCTTATAATTTGGGAAATAGGGAGTGTATATAAGGGATCTTCATTGAACCATTGAACTTGAACAAGGATTTTCCGTCCGAATCTTTTTTTCCGTCAGAATCTTTAGCTTCCGCTTCCCAAGACAAGGCGATATTGATCTCATAGCCAAGATTTACCCTTGCGAATGTTGATGAACAAATCGGCGTCGCCGTTAAGAAGGACGAGGTTGACAGAAGGTTGCTAAAGAAGCTGCAAGACCATTCGACATAGTCAATTTTGGCCCCAGTGCCAATTGTGAACGTTGGTGCCGTCGAGCCTCTTCTGCACAATCCATTGGTTGTTGCCCTCGCTGTATCTAGCCATTGAAGAAGAAGCTACGTGGATGAGAGACGAAAGATCTGAGAGAGGGAGAGAAGGGAGAAATAGGTAGGCAAGAGGAGGCTAAATCTTGATTGTTCCGACTACTTCGGATCATAAAATTAAATTTTATAATCTGGATTGGCTACGGTTGGGTTGAAATAAAATAAATCACGAACATAAAGCAAAGAGCAGAAACCTGATTACTGATATAGATGAACAGAATGCAAGGAACGAAAAGAAGAGAGGAAAACAATAGGTCATTTGCTAATCTAAATGTCATTTCATATATCATCCTTATATATAAGTGTTATACTTTATATTTAAAAGTTACTTCTGACACAAGCATACGTTCATATAATTCATAATGTTCGATACACTTCAATTAAGCTACGTAAGCCAAAGTACATTATTTATATCAAATATATATATGATTATGGTTATTAGTACATATAGGCAGTAGTATTCTTGAGTCTCTACTGTTTAGTACACTCAGCAGGAGCAAAAGAAAGTTTTTTCCGATCAAGATCATATTGGACTTCAAAATTAATATGAGCAACATTTCCGTAAACGGGCATTCCGCCTGCTTCTGTGGGAATCATTGCAAAGCACATAGAATCTTCGGATGTGAAATAACGGAATAAGTTCTGACGATTTAAGGAAAGTTCGGCTTCTCCTGTAAAATGAACCATAAAATTTGGAACATTCTGGATGGAGCTAGCATTTTTATAACACAAGTGGTTGTAAATGTTTCGAAATGATAATTGGTCGGCTCCAATGGCTTGCTTCACCAAAGCTTCAACCTGGTTATAAACGCTTGATGGAAGCTTTGTCAACGTGGTCCCAGAATCTATGAATATGTTTCCATCACTTTGACTTGTCAACGGCACTCTTCGTCGTCCAACAACGATAGCTGTAAACCACCATCAAATGAAGAGCCATTTATAATGTAACCACATTAATTATATAAATATGGGTTATATGATTTTTGCCTTTCAACTATTCATGCAAGAACGTCTCATATCCTAAACTTTTTTCATAGTGCATATATTCTCCTTTTATTATTAAAAATGGTATAATGTTGCACTTACCGTTAATAAGGATTAACTTTAACCATTAATTGACTTTAAAATACAAAAAATGACATAAAAATTGCAAAAAAAAACCCAAAATATTTTTTTTTACCACATAAAATACCAAAATAACATATTGACCCAACCTCTTTGAGAGACCACCTAATGATTATAAAATCATCATTATCGTGAGCAACAATACCAGTAATTAATTAAATGGTATTTGGTCTTATATATAGGTAAGAAATAATATTAGTCTCTTGCAATTTATTTTTAATTTTAAGAAACTTAATCAATATTAATTTTTATAGGGTATTTTAGGAATGGGGAGCGACTGTTAGGGCATGGGAGAAGAGGAAAAAGAAGTAAGATAAGTTATAAAGTCCAATTTTATCTAATGTGGGACCACTCACACTTGAACAACATAAAATCTTCTGCACAAGCTCCCCATATCAAGATGCCACAAACACAAGCCCTTGTACTTCCAATTAGGGCCAGCCTAATTTTGGGCTTCAAACATGTGCACAATAATGTGTCAGCCTTGAGGTTTAAGTTAAAATGTAGTACTATCATTTTGCTAATTTTGCCCTTTTTCCTCTCCCCACTGTTCCTGAGATCCCACTTCCAACAAGATCCTTTAATATAATTTTTGAGATTTTTTTTATAATTTTCTAAGTCCCTTTAATATAGTTTTTAAGATCATTTTTTATAATTTTTTAAGTCAACTAATAATTAAACTTATTTTTTGGTAAAGGAGAAATCGAACTATTCTAAAAAATTTAAGATATTAGACGCTCTCACAGAAATAGTTGAAAGGTAACGTTAACCCTGTAAATATAATTTAAAGTTTTAATTTAAAACAAGCGAACAACCTTAGGGAAGCATACCTTCAAGATTGAGAAAGTAAAAGTTCGTATCAGATCTGGTGATCAAGGGAGTGGAAACAACCCCATTTCCTGATATGGTGGCATCCTCCCCAAATCTTAGTTTACTTGTGGACTGATGGCCAAAAGGAGGCAAACAGTACGAGAATTTGCGACCGACATTCCCCATTTGTGAAACTAAGGACAAAGAACCTTGAGCAAGCCCGACAAGTCCTGTGGAGGACCTTCCATAAGTTGCATTGTTGTTGTGTCCACATCCAAACACCGTATTAGGAAATGCAACAGCCTGCCCACCATCGCTTGCTTCAAAACTAATAGACTCATTAGCCAATTCTCCCATAGTGTATGTGTTATCCGCATACGTATAATAATACGTACACTCATTTGATGTTCCACATTTAGGAGACTCTAATTGGCCTTGCGCATCATAGTAATAGGGCAGAGCTTCACAAGGGGTTGAGTTACATGGTAGAGACACATAAGTGGAAGAACTTTTGGGATCAAAGAACGGTGCGTTTTGAGGGTTGCACTGAGGACAGGGTGAGCATTGGAACCAAATGAGGTCGCTTCCTGTGTCTAAAGCTGCCCATCTCTCTACAGGCGGAGTACCAACGAAGATCTTCATCAGGTAGTTTATTACATCATTTGGGAATACATCAGTTTCAACTAACTCACTTGTTTCAGCCATAGAAGAATGGCGAAAGCGATTAGCTCGAGCCCTGGACCGCAACGCAGCGTATTGGAGGCTCTCCGAGTGGGTCATTGGGGAGTTATAAAAGGGTGATAAAGGTGAGTCACGATGAATGAGGTCGACACTGAAACCTTTCGGGAGCTTATTTGTTGCAGTGACATTAATACTGGACAAAGTCCAAAGAAAGAATAGTGCAAGGGCGAAAAAGGGTGAAGAAGCATGCATCTTGGAAAACGAAAGTCACAAGTAATAAGGAAATAGGAATGGATGAGTGAGGAATTAGAAGCGTGAAGTTGCTTCTATTTATTGACAAGTTCCCTGATTTTAGAGGTATCGAAAGATTCTACATTAGTCTGTTAAGTTGAAAAGAGGTCCCCATGGGAAGATATAACGTAGTTAGAATTGGTAACATGCGTATGCCACTTACCACTTTCCTTCGCAAACACGTCATCGGGCCATAATTTAAATACAAGAGTTAGGCCGGGTTATAACTAATGACAGGAATCATGCATGCATCCTTAAAAAATAAAAGTTCATTGGGCGGGAAAAAAAAAAAGTAAGGTGCAAATCTGTTCATAAAAAATTCTATGAAGAGTTACTGGTATTTTTAATATGGTATGATACAAGTTTACCCATGAGCTCTAAAAAAAAATTAGTGTAAAAAATCTCCAATTTGCAACGAAGGCAAAAAGTTCATCAAGAAGATTATGGGTCCCACCTACCATGTCACGTATAAATAAATTAGTAGAATAAATATCCATTATGTACTATACCATGATGTAATTTTGCTCATAAAACCTGAAAAATGATGCAAACTTCCCAATTGGAAAATATTAACTGTGAATGTCAAAATAATCAAAATTTATTTGACCTGAAATGTAAATGAAGAAATACATGTGTTCAAATTTATTCTAACACAAACCTTAAGCACAATATTTTTTTTGGTTTTTGCACACTTCATAGCTAGGAGGGGAGGGAAGAGGGTTTAAACTAACTAGAGTAGTAAAGAGAAGAGAGAGGCATGAATTGAGGTAGCTTTCATATGGGTTTTGAATAGTGTGTTTATATCATTATATTGCCATGTTGCTTGTCAAAATAAAACATTGTATTTAGGTTAATTTTTGCCAATTAGAACACATGTATTTCTATGTCTGCACTTTGAGTCAAATGAAATATCAATGATTCTAACATTCACAGTCACCGTTTGATAACAAGTACCTTTGTTATGGATTGAAGATTTTTGTACTGTTTTTAGGGTTGATGGGAAAAATTGTACCCTAGTATATTACTTTAGGAAAGCACGCTGGAGAGAGAAGAAAGGAAGAAAATCAGAAAAAATGTGAGAGGGAATAAAAGAACTTAAATTTCAAAGTTTTTAAAATATTTTTAAAAATAGAAAAAAGATATCTGAGATTTTATGAAGAATATTAAAGATATCAAGTTACAAAGAAGTATTATAAATAAGAGTTCTTGTGATCAGTTTAAAGGAATCCAATCACTTGTTTAAGCATTTCAAAAATTTTCTCTAAAATATTTAGAGCTCATATATGGAAGCATCTTGAAAACTGAGAACGAGTTTCTGAATCTAATTTATTTCTCTTTACATATTTCTTAATTTTTGCTGTGATCTATATTGATGATTGAGGATTTTAAAACGGTGTATTTGCATTTGTTGTTACTTCTATTATGCCTTTTAAATTACCTTGCTCGGGCTAGGGATATAGTCTAATAAAAAAACTAGTTTCTATTCCTTTATTTGACGTTCTTTGTCGATTTTGGATTTATAATTATATTTTGATTATTTTTTCAACTATATTTTCTGTTTTGTTCTTTATATGGACTTTGTAATTGGGCATCATAATAATAAAGGGTAAACTCTAAGAGGTGAATAATTGAGAGGTAGATTACTTAGATCTAAATAACTAGACACTCTGTAGATAAATTTAGGAATTTGCGATTATTTAAATTATAGCTTCATATTTTAATTATAACTTTGAATTACACAAAAGAAACTGGATGTGGAAGGGAAAAGGCAAAACCTATTTGGAAAAAATATATATAAATATTGAAGTATATTATCATGATCCCCATACAAATTCAAACACAACCAATATAATATACTTCATCTATAATTTATGATATGAAAAAATGTAACTACAGATATAATTCGACATCAATTGATCAACCTTACCACAATAGCTACCCCAGCATTCACAAATACAGAAGCGTATGTGGCATGCATCCACAAAAGTAAAGGTAGTAATATAGGTTAGACTTGATGGATCAGCCCAAATAAACTTGAAAAGTTCTTGGACTGGGTTTGTAAGTTTAGAAATTTTTCAATACTTTGGGTTTATTCAAGCTACTAGAATAAGCCTGAGGAAATATGGCCTCAGCCCAAACCAAATGGATTTAATTCGAATATGTGAATTCTCTTATATTATTAATAATATGAAGTTAACCTTCACTTGAACTTTCACTTAACCTTCACAAACTCTTTCCTAGACTTCCTGTTCACACATATTGCACTCTTAAATCAAGTTTTAATGTTACAACTATAATTATTTGTTTTAAATATTTTTTGAAAAAAATATTTAAAAAAAAACACAAATGGTTAATTCATATGTTTTCCTTTTTACTCTTCAATGTTTGGTCTCACTTTAATAAGGATGAAAAAAAGGTGCATTGTAGTGTTATGTTGCTTGAAAAGTCTTAATTTTTAAAAATAAAAATTGAAATTAACTAAACAAAGATAAAATAATATTTAACAATTCAAATATCTGAGCGAACTTGTATAAGCTCAAAAACCTGAAATGTTTAGATCAGGCTTAGTTATATAAGCTTTTTTGCATGTTTAATATTTTAAACCAAATCTAAATATAAGCGCAACCCAAATCAAGCACGGCTCAAATAAGCCCAATCCACCCGTCCTTGACTCTACATAAAACCTAAGCCATATATAATCAAATGCGAATGTACAAAATAAAATGACTATTGAACACCATGCTAACAAGTAGCAACATACGAAATAAAATGGAAATAGGATAGAAGCAAAATGAAGCAATGAAGATGTCATGCTAGGTGACATCCAAGATGGCATTCTGCATGGAAATCAAATCCTAGATGGTAGTATATGTGGCAATAAAGTCCTAGATGGCATGCCATGTCATCAAGTTATTCCAAGCCAGGTCATCCAAGTAAATAGATATATATTCAAGATGCTATGATGCATAGTGGGAGCCTAAATCAGCAATTGAAGACACAATATATATGTATACACTTGGAGGAGGCAAATTGAGCCATAATCTTGCATAATTAACCCCCAATGCATATTCTAATGTACCATGGGAATTTATGAGCGTGACTAGTATTGGAACGAGTCTTAATGGGCTTAATGAAGGATTACATTGGTTTATGAAAAGCATTATATGAAAACCAATCCAATGAGTCCAATTAGTTTAGTGAATATTCTTTCTTAAATTTAAAAAATTATTTTATCTTATTTTAAATTCAAATTCAAATTTAGAAAAATTAATTTATCTTGTTTAAAATTTAAATAATGGTAAAATATATCAATTAAGAATATGTTCTATCCATTTGGAATCCTAGATTACCTAGGATTATGTTATTTATATTTTTAGATGTTTATTTAAATAGTTTAGACTTTTGTATTTTTTAGACTTGATTAAATTAATGAATTAAATTTTTCTTTTTTCAATTATACAGCTATTTTAATTAGTATTATTCTGCATAAGATAATGCACCATGAAATTTTGAATTATCGTGACTTATAGTTCAGTTACTTGTATTACTATTCTTTAACTTAAATGATAAATACACACATGAATATCGAATGTCCCCAAAAGGACAAAACACATGCGCACACATACTCCCTCTAGTCATATTTATAAGGTAGAGAGACAAATTTTTTTTATCCTGTTTAAAAGTCACATCATTAAATTTTTACCACAATTTTTTTTTTACTTTCTATTGAATGTTAGAGTAAGAAAATATATATGTTATTGAAATATATATATTTAATAGGGCAAAGTTGAGACCTTATTAAACTTTAAAATAAAATTAATTAGTTTTAAAATTTTTTTTATACTGATAAAATATGTTGAAAGTGGTTTATAAATAATATTAGAGGAGTAATTTCTTAGCAGTATTAAAGATTAAAGAATTTGTTCGCAATTACAAACATCCAAAGAGAAATGGACATGAGTTGAATAAAGACTAACGTAATGCAATAAATAAGGCATTAAGGGGAAAAAAAACGGCTTCAAGGGGAAAAGTCAAGAAAGTTAATAAGGATTGGACAATTAAATCCAACCTATATCCTATATCTTATTTTCATCATGATATAAAAAGAAAGAAAAAAAACTAAAGAGAGTTGAAAATTGTGCATTGGAGATCTAGTGAGAGGAACGAGTGGATGTGGAATAGAAAAGGTAAAACCTATTAACATCAGTGGCCGACGGGGGATCCTAGATTAGTGGTGTCATAAAATATAAAATACTAAAAATTAAAATTAAAACAATATAAAAGATAATGTAAATTTATATTATCAAAAAATAACAATATAAATTTATATTTAACAAGTTAAAAGCTTACCAAATTTATATGGCCAACCCCGAGCTCAATTGACAAGATAATGCTAAGACTTGCTATGTCTTCAAAGGATTTAATGAAAATCTAGTAAGTTTAAATTCAAGCCAAACTCTCTTAATAGATTTTTTTTTCAACACTTTATGGGCATTAATCTTTAAATACATACCAACCTCTTCCTCTTTAATTTTCCTTCCAAAAATGTCATAATATCATTAATGTAACCAATAATCAAATCAAGCTCAATTAGAAGGCAAACCCACATCATCATCATCACAAATAAACCTCAACTTTCACTTTTCTCAAACATTGCATCAACATTTTATAATTTTTTTTTTTTGAGGACATAAATGTGTGTGTGTGTGTGTGTGTGTGTGTGTGTGTGTAGAAAATTAGCCCCAAATTTACCAACCAAAATACTCTTCCCAAGCACCTCTTTTCACTTTCAACTTCTTTTATGTAGATTAATTTGCTTCCATAACACTTAAATTTCCAATAATACAATCATTACATTTAACATCCACCATCCAACAAACCCTTCCTCTTAAGCATTTCATCAAG